CTTCTTCATAGAATCATAGAATCATAGAATAGATTGGGTTGGAAAAGACCTCCAAGATCATCAAGTCCAACCCCTGATCCAACTCCAATTACTATATCATGGCACTAAGGGCCACATCCAATCAAGCATTGGAACAGCCTACCCAGAGAGGTGGTGGATTCACCATCCCTGGAGGTTTTTAAGCAGAGATTGGATGTGGCCCTTAGTGCCATGATATAGTAATTGGAGTTGGATCAGGGGTTGGACTTGATGATCTTGGAGGTCTTTTCCAACCCAATCTATTCTATGATTCTATGATTCTATGAAGAAGCTGTGAAGAAGCACAGCCAGCACATCTGATCCAAACTAGCCAAAGGGATCTTCGACACCATAGAGCACCATGCCCGGTATATCAACTGGCAGGAGTTGGCTGGGAGGGTCTGATTGCTGCTGGGCATTGGTCAGTGGGTAGTGAGCAATTGTAATGTTCATCAGGTGCCTTTCTTAGGTTTTATTCTTCTCCCTCTCTCCTCCACTCCCTTAATACTTTATTATTGTAGTATTACTTACTACTATATTACTGTAATAATAATACCTGTCACCCTAGCCCCAGCCTCCCTGCCTGTGATGCTGGTAAAGATCCCTGGTCACTCATGGCCTCAGAAATACAACATTTTGTATTTCAGTGGAAACACACCTCCAAATTTACATAGGTGTCAAAGTCCCTTCTTACACTGAAAAGCTCCATGATCAGCCAGAGAAGGTTCTTTATTTTGCAGCGAGCCAGCAAATCAAGAGCTCATCATGGAGCAAGATGCAGAGTCCCACAGTAAGAGAGATGTGTCCTCCTAAGTCCATGCAACACTGCTGGGTGAAGGCTTAACAGCTTAGGTCAAGAGATGAGATGGCCACAGCTGCACACCAGCTTATTGAATCCTGCCTTTTGATTCCAAAATCAGAATGTGGCACAAATAAAGACTTGTCCTCACGTCCTCAGTCCATATTTAAAACTCCATTCCTGAAAGTACACATTCCTTAATTCAGCATGGCAAAACATGCTCTGTGGTGTACCCAAAGGAATTTTGCAGGAAGTTTGCTCAAAAACCAAAATAGAATAGAGGCAGTATTTTTTTTCCCTCTACAAAAAGACAGTTCAGTTCTTCCAGCTGCCTCCCAGTCATGCCATAATGGCCACCTCATCAAATTGGTTTTTTTATAGCAACCCAAGTATTGCACAGAAAGTGTCAGAGTCTAAAACATGATACAAACTTGGAAGCAACATCACCATCAGAATCTGTCAGGAAGACAAAATGCACTGCAGCGCATTTGGTTCTCATCCAGGACACTACACCTGACTGCTGACCTCCTCTCCCTCCCTCCAAAACACCAGAGAAGGTGACAACAGCGTCTCTACCTACTTCTGGCAGCCGTGATCTCCTGCCGCATGATGCAGATGTAGAGCTGGAGGGTGAGCTGTGGCGCGGAGCCGAGGAACGCCTGGATCACGGAGGCCCTGCTGAAGGCAGACCTGTGCGTGCGCAGCTTGAGCTCAGCCTGCCCCACCTCCTTCTCGATTTCCTCCGAGCATCCACCCTTGGGCACCTGCCACTTCTTCGTGATGCTGACATAGGGGTCTTCAATCCTGCCAGCGTGGTAGTAAATGTAAAAGGCTTCCATACACCTACAAGCAAAGGAGTAAATAGAGTGACAGGGGGAAAAAAACAAACAAACAAACAAAAAAAAAACCAAAAGAAAAGCATAGGTCTTGCCAATCCTTAGTATTTTAAGCAATCACATACTAAGTCCTAAGCCATTTGTTCATAAAGCAAAGCCTGTATGTTTTTTCATCCTGGTAAATTTGGAATAGGACAGATTTCCCTCTTTGAAACACGAACTACATGTGACTAGAGAGCAAGAACCTGTCAGTGCTACTTGGGCTGCTTGCAGTACTCAGACATGGGAGGAGGTTTAGTTGTTTCCTATGAGCTGCCTTTGCTCTCTGCTGTCCTCTGCTCCATTAAAGTCCTTAAACCACAATGTTTATAGGCCAACCCAGGGCCCAAGCCCTAGGTGTTTCTTCAGATCCTCATGTCTTCCCCTTCTTGTTGTCCATACATCTGTGGGACATGGCAACAAACACACTTTCCATACCTTTGCCTTAAACAAGGTATCTGAAGAGAGAAGCTCAGGGTACAAGCAGGTGTGCACACCTCAAACTGTTTGACTCTCATTCTTGCTTTACCCAGCAATGGTTCAAAACACCAGTAACATGCCAGAACAGTGAGAAGGAGCAGTTTTTGAGCCTCACAACTCTGGAAATCAGCATTTTTTAAAAAGACACAAAAATAGGAGCTTTAGTCCTTATGTTTGCTTATGTTTATTGCACTGTTGAAGAAACATTAATCTTGCAAAAACATTTAAATAAGAAGATGCAGTGTTTCCTGTTGCTGTAGCTCTTCACACTTTAAACACAGTGGAAGCCAAACCCTCTTGTTTATATAGTCCAACTGCAGACTGACTTCTAAGAAACAAAGTGGTGCTAGCACACACGCTTCTACTCATAAATTACATATTATTGTACTATTTTCTGCCTCTACCTGTGCACAGAGAATAACCCACACATTTGGGAGGAAACAGAAAGAGTTATCTGCAGTTAATGCTGTAGCAACAAGGACAATCTGGCTCTTTGAGCATTAGCCTCAGACAGATTTCTGCAAGGAAAGGACAGTTTCTGAAACTGCCTTCAATGAATGTTTTTTAATTGGATAAAACTTTAGAAAAACTATTCCAAGAGAACTACTCAGATATGAAGGTGTTAAGGGCAGGCTTGGGCATCAAGCAGAACCCAAAAAAAAATGGGAACAGCCATTATCTGAGAACTAATGACAAGCAAGGAATGACAGAGATACAGGTGAAATCATAATCTGAGAGCGAAGGGAGAGGAAAGAAAAACTTTATTTCTGCCCCATTGCTTAGGGTCCTAAAAACAGAGGGCTTGCTGTGGAGGAATCCATAAGCTGAAAAGTACCCCCTCCCCCAAAAAGCCCAAACCCAGCTGCAGTGTGAGCAGCAGCCCTGGTGAGGGCTGGATTACAGCCAAGGGAAGCTTTGGGGGTAGAAACCCCCCAGTGCCAAGGTGACCTGTGGCACCAGCTCTGGTCACACTCCCTCCCACAGCCCAGCACGCATGGCATCTTTTTGCACAGGCATCATCTGCTGGTGGGGAATGACCGGTCTTCTTTCCTTCCATAGTGCCTGCTGGGGTTCACCTCCTCCACCTCTGCAGTTAATACTTGCTGGAATGCGGCATCTCCGAGTCCCCTCCAGGTCAGATGGCCAATCAGTTTTTGTTACCTACAAATAAGGCTTATTGTCCATTTAAAAGTGTCTCACAACTAAACAGCACAGAGCTATGCTTGTCTGAGTCTTTATTGAACTCCCATTTCCTTCTTGACTTTTTAAACCACTTGCCAACTTGGAGCCTATCACAGCCTTTTAAGAGAAAGCTGTAAAGCAGCACTTACAAAAATTCAATTATAAGCATACTGATTTTTATTTTAATAAACTGTACTTCATTTTCTCTCCTAACTGGACCATTAGCAAGTTTCAACTGCTAATGCTGAAACTGTCTCAAGAGCAATTTTAGGAGTGTGTAGTACTATTCTTGATTCACAAGGCTTCAGCTATCATCACTAATGGAAGTTCCTGGTGCTCTGGAGGCTCCATTCATAGAGATGACTTTCTGTTTTCCCCTCATTAATCTTTTCACTCCCTGCCAGCCTTGTTCTACGTGAAGGAATCCACACAGCCAAAAATAAAGTGTGAAAAATTAATAAAGCACTTATGAAGCCCACATAGATTCTGAAGCCAACGAATTGATTTTATTCCTAAAGAAAGATACCAGAACATTTTTGTCCTGCTTAGTATTCACAGCCATGTATTCACCCTGAGCTGAGGGCAAGTCTGAAGCTATTATGGAAAATGGGATCTCAGCATCAGCTTCTGAACTCTTGCTGTTCATGATTAGAAGTAGATATAGTTTAGGGCCCCATCCAAAAAAATACACAATAATCCAATAAAATAAATGATAAGATTTATAAGACAACTGACTATAGCAAACATGATAATCAACAAAATGCTGGATTTTGGGGCAAGCATTTGATTCGTATTTATTGGCTGGGTATTAAGTAAAAGTATATTGTTTGTGATGGGAAATTTTGTATCAGCAGAGTAAAGCAAACACAATGTGAAATAAGCAACCTTAGAGCTTTTAAAAGGGGACTTTTACCAGTACAGTAGAGCAATAAAAATGGTATGTGCAAGCATTCAGATTACACCAATAATTATGCCCATTTTCTCCCAGGCCCTGACTATCCCATGTAAAAGTGTTTCTGGAGGTCAAGCCCTCTGGGGCAAATAACAAATGCAGTCAGGACTCTGACTGGTGCCACTGCCCAAGCAATTGCTTCAAACAGGAGAGACTGGCAGCTGACACACTAGAAATAAAGAGCACCAATCTAAAAGTTTTAAAGAATAGAGAATTAAGAGGGGAACAGGCACCTGAAGGACCACCCAGATGAGAAGGATCCAGAACTACGATGCAGAATCAATTCAGATCATGCACCTGTGCCAGATTATGCCTACAAAATACACGCTGAAGGGTTGGGCATCTTGTCTTTAAATGAACTGGCTTGTTCTTTTTTAGTATGAAGCACAACTAAGACACAGTACAAGATGGCACCTGCTTCATGATAACTCTCCTCCACACTTACAAACTGCTGCAGTGTGACAGCCCTGGTTGCTCGTCACTGCTCTGCTCCAGAGGAACAGGAGTGGGAGATCCCAACTTCTGCACAAGCCACTTCCTGCAATGCAGTGACATTTAGGGCCCCTTCAACAGCTCCTCACTTGGCGCCAAGAGAAGAAGGAGAGCAGCTGATTGTTTTCACTGCATGTAAAGCAATGACAGCTGCAGTATGGGCTCCAAAGGAACTAAATTTGCTCTGAAGGAAAAAAGTCAGATCTATTTTGTACAGTGAAAGTTAAAAGGTAAGAAAAGGATGGTGCTGCTTTCTCCCCATCTTGGCAGAGAGAAGAGCCATACTTTTTCAAGGATCCTGATGGTGCCCACAAGAAGTGATTCAGCAGCAAACATTTGCCTTCTACACGGTAAGTAGGAGGAATAATCCCATCCCTATAATATTGCCGAGAGTGAGCACCTCATTCCCTATTTTAATTATGGATGCGTGGGATTTAAATACAGACCAAATTAATGGTGGTGTGAAGAGGGAGCAGGCAATGAAAACTGGGAACTTTCCACAGCCAAGTGCTCCCAGAATAAACAGCTATTTAAGACTTATCCACACAAGCTCACTGCAAACATACAGATTTCTCTAATGACTCGATTTTCAGTAATCCCTTCTCTTTAGAAAAGCAAGCAAAAGACTTATCAGTCCTGCAGACTTATTCACCTACATCAGGCAAAGATTTGTTCCTCACTCACTGTTCTACGTTCCACCTGCACTGACTTTCTGTTCATCCCATCATGGACACCTAACACAGCTTCTCAGGAATAAAGGAAAAAAAGTAGCCTGAAGACAATCTAGGTATATTCTTCCCATCCGAAAAAGAGGAAGATGATACATCAACAGTTATAAAGTTTAGAGCTAGCAGGATCTCCTATGATAAGGTCTGCCAGTGGAAGTACTACAAGGAAGGAAAGTAGACTACCGATGGGAGACAATGCTTCTGCACAATGAGACTGAACCAGTAGAGCTTATTAGATTTCAAACTGCAAAATTAGATATCCAAAACATGAATGACTCCAAAAACTTCAGTCTATAGGTGGTTTTCTTGGAGTTTTTCTTATTTTTTGGGGGGGTGGTTTTTTTGTTTGTTTTTTTTCTGTTTGTTTGGGGTTTTTTTGTGTGTGAGGTTTTTTGTTTTGTTTTGTTTTGTTTTTGTTTTTTTTTTTTTTTTACTTCCTGCAGCTCACAGAATCAAACTTTGGCCACAACACCAGCTCCTCTGGCAGTTTGATGCAAACTTCCTCCTGCATCTGCTGTGTTGTCTACAAGATAACAGGCATGTAATTGTTTCTCCTTATGCCTTGAGAAACAAAGCCTGATCCTATTAAAAAAATATTCTATTGTTTACATCCTTGTCCCATTACAACCCAAGGAAAACAGTCATTAGTGTTCTACATAGGGACCTGTTATATCTGATTGTGATGTTTTTTGCAAGAGAAGTTCATCCTTCTGCAGACAGAGCCCTTCCCTGATTGAATCTCTTCCCAAGGAACAGCCCGTGGGCTCACATTCCACTAACAGAGCACCAGGGAGAGCGGTTTCAAAGACACCTGCAGTCGCTTCAGCTTTCCTCTCCACAAAGTTGGTACCAGAAGGAAGCACTGCCAAGTTCCCACCAGTCTCTTCTGAGTATGCCACTTCAGTAAATCAGGTGGTAGGGAACCACTGCATCTAGCAGACTTAAGGTACAACACCAGCAACACCTCTGGAGTGTGACTGTCCAAGCCAGTTTGTTGGAAATTGGCACTTCAGCTCCTGATCTGTTTGTTGCTTGCAAAATAGAAAAGGGCAAGGAAGTTAACAGGGGGTCCTCTGGTACCCTTCATGAATGGAAAGGAGAAAAGGAGGCTTGGTGGGACCTTCTTCCTCTCTCCAACTACCCAAAAGGAGGCTGCAGCCAGGCAAGGGTCGGTCTCTCCTCCCAAGATAACAAGCGACAGGACAAGAGGAAATGGCCTCAAATTATGCCAGGGGAGATTCAGGTTAGATATTAGTAAAAGTCTTTTCACTCAAAGGGTGGTCGAGCACTGGAATAAGCTGCTCAGGGAAGTGGTGGAATCATCATGATTAGAAATGTTCGAAAAGGCATGTCAATGTGGCACTTAGGGACGTGGTTTAGTAGTGAACACAGTGGTGCTGGGTTATTAGCTGGACTTGATGATTTAGAGGTCTTTTCCAACCTAAACAATTCTCTGATTACATGAAGAGTTATTTGCACTTTGAACAAATCCTTACATGTGGTGCAGTACACTGGTAAAAATACATCCAGTTATTATTTATTGGAATTGTAGCAGCACCTAAAATCTCAAGATGATCTTGGTGACAGAGGTGCCATCCAAATGAACAGAGAACAAAGAGACGGTCCTTGGTACAGGAGCAGCCAATAATGGACCAAAAATCTCATCATAACCTTCCCTAAAGAAAAGTATATTAAACCTCTACAGTATATTAAACACTGGCTACTATTTTAAGTATTTTTTCTGTTATAATTTACTTTATGTGGTAAAAGAATCTCCTTTTTTAAAAAAAAAAAAGTATCCAAATATATCTCCTAAGCATCCAGACAAATTAGTGCAGTGATAAGGAATGGTACTGCCCTGAAATGCTGCAGGAATCCCCCATGATGCCCAGAAACCTGCAATCACTTTGTTCCAGCCAAGTCTCTGCACAGTCTCTGGCATGTCTGCGTCCTGAGGATCACAGGGAAATAGGAATTTTGCTGTACAAATTGCCCCAAATTTGTAGAGAAACTCCTAGGGAGTGTGAGAAGAAATTAAAAAAAAAAAAAAAAAAAAAAAAAAAAAAAAAAAAAAAGGTACATTAACGTAACGGTACAGCAAAAATCCTCTCCAGGAAGAGGGATGCTACCTAATTTTAGTGCTTCCAGTGGTGGCAGCAGGACAGCAAGCACCTCCCAAACAGGTGGAGTGTGGGTGTTTGGGGAAGGTGGTGGTATGCAAGAAGGTTCTATGAGAGAATGTACTTTCTCCCCATCACACAGATGATTCAAAATAGGCTGGATCATTTCTCTTGCAAAGTTCAATACCCTCCTTCCCTGCCAAGATATTTCCAAACCATTCCCCCAAATTTAAAGGGTGTTTTGGGGTTTTTTTTTGTTTGTTTTGTTTTTTTTTCTTTCTTTTTTTTTTTAAGGAAAAAAGAAGGGGAGAAAAATGTCTAGATTTTAAGATGATAAAGAAAACCTCCCACAACATACATGTGCTGTTGGTAAGCAGCAGTATTTGAGTTTGAACAGAGAAATTCTGACTACCCTGTATCATAACAAACCAAAGACTGATGGTTAAAAGGTGGGTGTTAGCTTTTTAAAGCCAGCCAAAGCAGCCAGCCCTCCTTTGCAGCGTGTCATCTCACACAGCCTGAAGGTTCTTAAACATTTCACTCTGATGCCAAAAGCAGACAGAGCCTGAGGGGGCTCTACTGTCTGTGTCCTTGGCCCAGCCCTCCCTAAACAACCCTGGGCTGTGCCTGTGAGATACAAGAGACTGAATAGGGAGGACGGAGTGAGGCTTCACACCGGGGAAGCAGATGACTAAGAACAGCAGGATTCTCCAGTGTAAAGGAGCAGAGCTTTGCTTACCAGGATGGAAAAAAATGCTTTCAAGGACGACGTTCCTTTTCAGCTTACAAAAGTTAAAGCCACAGTGCAGTGATAATACAGCCAAAAAGTATTTTGCCTTCTAGCCACCACTTGCGTGCGTGGCAGTCTACACAGGATAGAAAGCCTCCTGTGCAAAACGGGGAACTGTGAGGTATTTCATGTGCTGAAAACCCTCAAACTTATACAGGGCAGAGCTACAACTGATGGGAAGCAATCAGTTTCCTCTTCTCACAGATACAGCAATGTTTACTTGTAGGAATGAAAAAATCCCCCAAAGCAAACTCCTTTACTATCTGCCTCAGACCGATCCCTTGGTCTTCCCACACTTTTTGTTGGATGTGCTGCATCCTACAAATAGATACGATTCCCAAAAACTAGAGAGAGGTCGTTTTCTATGAAGTTTTTGTTTTGTAGAGTACTTCCAGCCTTTAGCAGGAAATAAGTTTCTCAGGTAGCATGAATGCACTACCCTCTTTGTATTAGTTATTATAATCCAGTTACACTGGGTTTAGAGAGAAGTCAACATACATCACTTTGTAATGCCCAAATGAGGCCACAGGGACTGTGGCACAGGTATGCTGCAACACCTCCAGAAGACCTTCAAACCTTCTGGAAATGCCAGGTTTGTTAATCTTTGAGAAAGGCAGAATTGCCGAGTTGGCAACACACTTGAAGAGAGGAGAAGGCTTCCATATGCCCACTAGTTTTACAGCAGTGACTGTGGCTGGGAGCTCGCCAATGGAGCAGAAAGTGTGCTCTGCACAACGTGAGACTTGTGTTGTAAACAGATAAACTTGATATTGAGAAAGAAAGAGAAAGTCAAGTCATGTCTGGTGGTTAAGGTCAAAGAGGAAGTCTGTTTCTTTCAGATAATTAGAAGGAAAATCTTCCACTTTTTTTTGGTTGTTTACATCCTTTATTTGTTTATTCACATCTTCCAGCTTGACATGACATTTTTGCTTTGTCTGACCTCAAGAAATTGATTTAGAATGACAAAAGTCACCAACACAATTTTTATTTTGATAGTTTCTTTCTCTTTGGTTCCTCTCTTGTTTTCCAAAGAATGTAGAAGTACTTTGTTCTCAGCTTTTAGAAATCAGAGCTCTTTAAGAACTAACTGTTTAGCCATAACTTAAATATCTTTAAAATCTTAACAAAACAAAAATATTAATGAAATCCAGTCGTGGTTATAGAAGTCAATGTTTTTGATGTGTAAGACATTTTGTAACATCCAAACTCTTCACCCTTCTTAGTGTCAACAAATCTTCCTTTCCCACACTGTCCAGGAATTTCAAAAAGTTGCTGATGCTTCTCCCAGCCTCTTCTACAGATGCACTGCATTTAATCACCCTTCTTTCTAAATAAAAGATATGAATGTAAATTTAAAATGAATGCCCCCAGCAAACATTTTGTCTTGGGAGTTGTGCCACCACCGTAACTTTTCATCTATCTGGGATTTTTTTTTTCTCCCCCTAAGGGCATTTTCAGTGAGAAGTTAAACTGAAGTTGGAAAAAAAAAGAAATCTCCAACGCAATTTGGGGCAAGAAGCACACATTTGGGAAGAAGAGACTGGCCAGAGCATCACTATCTTGGTCCTAATTTCCCAACCGAGCGAACCTTCCCTGTGCCTCCTGGAAGTCACCTGCGAGCAAAGCGCCACGGAGGAGCCGGCAGCGAGCAGACACAGCCCTCTGCAGGGAGCCACGGCGATGCCGAACCAGCGCAGCACCGGGGCGCGGAATGGGGCTCTCCCGGTTCCCCGCGGGCCCGGCAGGGCTGAGCCCCTTCACCCCGGGGCTCAGATCCTGAGGGCACTCCCGAAGGACGCCGTTCCAAGGCGGGACCCGCCGGTGCAGAGCGGCAGCAGCGGCCGCGCCCGCTCCGCACAAAGGCCGGGGGGCTCCGGGCGCCCCCCGCGCTCGGCCCCGGCCCCGCCGAGGGGCGGGACGGACTCACCGACCTGACGAGAGGCCCGAGCTGCAGCAGGTGCAGCAGCAGCACCAGCGGGCGGTCGCGGGTCACGTCGCGGTGGATGAAGACCAGGCTGAGCTGCACCAGCACGCAGGGCAGGAGGGCGCAGAGCAGCGTCAGCCAGTGCCACATGGGGTCCCCCGCAGCGCGGTACGCCGCGCTCAGGCACAGCGCGGCCGTCGTCTCGGACAAGAAGAGGACGAGGGAGATGAGGACGGAGCCCGGGAATTTCATCGCCGCCGCCGCCCCAGCCCGGCCCGCCCGGCCCGCCCAGCTGAGGCGCGGTGCGGCGGGTGCGGTGCTGCACCGAGCCCGCCAGGGGGAGCCCCCGCCGCCCTCACCGCCGCCCTCAGCGCCGGCCCGCGGCCTCCGCCGCCGGGGCCACTGCAGCTGCAGCGCCCGGCACTGCCGGGGCTCGGCCCGCGCTCCTAAAGGGGGGAAGGTTCTCTCCCCGCCGGTGCGTGGGGAGCAGCCCCTCATCGCGCCTCCTTGGTGTGAAGCACTCCCTCATCACGGCTCCATCAGCCCCAAGATACAGCACTGAACCGAGGGGTATCGGTCGGGGCGGGGAGGGGGGGAGCGGGTGCTCCCCAGGGCGCTTGGTCAGGCTGGAGGGATCGCAGACTCACAGGATCAGTTAGGTTGGAAAAGACCTCTGAGGTAATCGGGTCCGAGGTATGACCGAACACCACCTTGTCAACGTGGCATTGACACGTCCTTAAGTATCTCCAGGGACAGTGATTCCACCACCTCCCTGGGAAGCCCATTCTGATGTCTAAACACGCTTTCTGTGAAGAAATTCCTGCTTATGTCCATCCTAAACCTCCCCTGGTGCAGTTTAAGACTATGTCCTCTCATCCTATTGCTGGCTGCCCGGGGAGAAGAGGCCGCCCCCCAGCTGGCTACAACCTCCTTTCAGGGACTTATAGAGGGTGATAGAATAGATATCCTGAAAGGAGGAGGCAAGGGCAAAGTCCTGTACCTGGAAAAAAATAACCCTGTGCACCAATGAAGGCTGAGAGACAGCTGATAAAAAATTTAAACAAATAAACAAACACAACAACAACAAAAAGCCTAAGAAACAAAAGGCAGAGAGGGAGGTGTGAGTGCTGTGGAGCCTTCTCTGATGTGCCCAACTCAGAGACCCCTCAGTGAGGCACTGGTAGAGGTGCCCTTTTAGCACTTTGCCAGCTGGATCTCACTCTTGCTTCCCAGCCCTTTTCCCGCAAAGGTTCCTAAGGTCACAGAACACCAAGCACCTGCTGTTAACACCGGCCCATAGCACTTGCCCACTGTCCCTGAGCCTTTCCCCTTCACCAGCAGGATCCGTCCTCCCTTGCCCACCAGAGCTCTGCAGTCCTTCAGGAAATGTCACCCTGGCTGCGTCACTGATGCCTGCATGGATGAGCAGCACAAGGCAACAGCCTGAGGGAAAGATGAGTCTTTTCAGTCTCTCCTTCTCTCAGATCCTGAATCTGAGCACCTGGCAAGAAACACAACTCCTGAAGTACTAAGTCAGGTTGGCAGATGGTGCCTCTATCCTGCTCAGGAGCGGGCTGCAATCACTGCTATTTCCTCCTCTCGGTGCAGGTACTTGGTTCATGCTCAGCTGGCTCTGATGCCCGCCCTGATAGATCTTGTTTCTCCTTGCCTGTTCCTAGGCAATTGCAGACTTGGCACATGGAGATTAACAAAAGACATCTGGGACCTACCAGGAGCACAACAGGAAGGCAGGATATGGAGCTATTAGCCTATTAATGGGATAAAGCTAATAGCTACTTCTGCATGTCCGCTACTATTCTTTAATGCAATTTAGATTGTCACCAGAATTTTAAAAATGCCATTTCTTGAACTGCTGCTCTGGAAAATCTGGAGTTCCATTGCTCAGCTCCAGCTGAATTCAAGCTCATGACAGCAAAGATGGAAACCTTGTTCCGGGCAGGCCTAGGTGAATCTCATGCTCTGTGTCCTTTACTGAGAGTGGAGGGGTCTTTCTGGAAAAAGAAGAGGCCATGAAAACTGAAATGTAAGCAGGCTGAAAATAAACACCTAAGTGAGAAACTTTAATCCACAGGCTAAATGCAACTTGTCTTGTCTCATGGGAAACTATCATGAGGTAGTTTTACCTAAGCACTATGTGCAGTCTGGATGATTTATCTAATTCTAAGATGATTTATTTTACAAAGTACCACTGAAAAGCTTTTGGAGCCCTGAGCCAAGACTCTTCTGGAAAGAAAGGTTGCCAGCATTATGAAATACAAGTACAGAAATAATCAATCCAACACAAAATCATACTGTTCAAGGTTGGACTTTTATTTAAGGCAAAATATAATCACAGCTTTAATATTCATAATATGGATATACACAGAGATTGTTCTGCCACTAGGAAGCTTAACATTATCACTGCTTTTAAAAAGCTATAAAATCTAGTTTCTATCATAATCTACAATACAAAACTAATACAATAAACACATTCTGAAAGATCACAGTGTTTAAAATATTGGAAAAGCAGGGCAGGGGTCCTGCTTTTAAACAATAAGGTGCATATCTAAAGAATCAAATCAGTCTTGATTCTACGGGCCTGTACCACATCATGGCTGTGAATGGCTGTAACACTGAGAAACCAATCTAGGGTGTGGCACGTACTCAAGGAAAGAATATCACACGCTGGAATATACTGAATAATCAAGTGTCACCAACACAAATTAGACATGAAATAATGCCATTTAAGTTCCCTGTAATTTTCACTGGTATTGGCATTCATGTATATTGCAGAGATATTGAGAGAAAACGTGTATAAAACTGCTATCAAATAGGGCCCTGCATATGCAAACATCTGTGCTTTCCTCATACTATACAAACAAGCCTTACTAATTCCATGGGACTCATGTGTAAAGGAAAGTTTGTAGGCTTGGGGTCCAGAATAATAGTTTTGCCCCTGTTTCACACATGTGGAAGGACCCACCTTGCACGCCTGGAATCAAGTGGAGGTCCACCACTGACATCAGCAGGTGGCATATCAGGCCCTTAAAATGAGTGCAGGAGGCTGAACCAGTGGCAAAATCAGACTATTGTTAGAGGAAATATTTTCTTCTCTCATGTGTGGTCATGGTAATGAAGACAGAAGCAGAGTTTAATTTCTGGTCAGACAGCCTTCCTCTTCTATCTGAAGAAGAAATATATGTTTGACTAGGATCAGTTTTCCATTCCCTATAGAATATAATTGACTTCAGGACTTCTATATAACATTTTCTCTGGACTATGCACGTATACTCATGCAGTGCTGTTGCTGAACATCACTGCACTATAAAGTACCTTTTATTCAAATATCATCATACCATTTGGCAAAATGAGTTTTTATTTATTTTTCTGCCGTTCTAGTTAGTATTGCTGTACTTGACCTAAATGCCTCCACCTTCTTGTTGACTCATGCAATGAACAAAGTCAAGGGACTTTCCAAAATAAAACCTTCTAAGTATCAACAATAAATATGGCCTTACATATTTTCAAGCAGATTGCCATTTAAAAACTGATTTTCTTTTTTTGAGAGCATGAAATAGAATTTTAAATATAGAGGGTACAGGACCAACGTGACAATACAAATTAGTCAGGAGGTTTAGTAATTCAAAGGCAGGTTGAAAAGTTGGTGCTTGTTGGCTTCTTGAACACATTTTTTTTAAACTGCCTCAGCATCAATAGTGTACATCACTTCTGTTTCAGCAGGCTGTAGGTTCAGCTACAGGCAACTCCCTCACAGCAAACTTTTTTCAGCACATAATGACTTTGCTATAATGGCAATGAAGTGCTGTTCAAGGCAGCTGAAACCTGCACAGTGAACGCTGTACCACGACCTGTGCAATGAAGCACACTGTGCTATTCTCTAGGAAAATGCCTATTCACATCCCTAAATTGCTGTATTGTTTTGTGTGGGCCCTGAGTGGTTTTGGATTATGGCTTTGAAGTCTGTTGTTCCCCTAGAAGTGTGATTTTTGGTCATTTTTTATTTCTTTTCAATTTAGCTTTCTGCGGCTTACTACTTTTTCCAGGACATAATTACATAAACTGAAATGTCCAGGCTGAGCTGCTGGCCAGCAACTGTTCATCAGTGTAGTTCTACACTTCAAGATTACTCTTCAAAAAAATCTCTAGGGCAATTCTTATTCCTGATATACTAATCTTCCTACAGATCAGAATATGCACTCATGCCAGTGAATATTCAAGGTATGCAGGAGAAGATTTCTGCACCTGAGATTTACTTGGCAGACCTCAGAGATCCAAAGAAAAAGAGTACATTCTCAAAACGCATGCACACACTAAAATAGGTCACTGTTGGCATAAAACATGCAATATGTTGGCAGATGCTGTAACTGTATATGCAGATAACTATGTAAGTACAAAAAGCTGATTGCTTATCAAAGTTTCCATTTGCACATATTGCCCCTGTATGCTGCTGAATACATCAGTACCTACATCTCAGTTTTTTCCACAGTATTTTAAAAAATTCAGTATTCTCATATTGTTTACATGTCCATATATAATCAGTGTCACAACATCAAAATGGCATTAATCTGACAGAGTAGCAACAAGGGTGACCACTTTACTTGCATTTTTTTATGTATATTTCCCAGAACTAATTAACAGTGTATTTTGGAATGTTAAACCATTTCACTTGGGTTTGATTGTCATAATAGAATTGAGCTACTAGAGAAGTGACAATGCTCCCAAGGAAGTCTCTGTTTTATTTAATGATGTAAAACATCAGTGACAGTTGTTACACAGCGTAATGACTTTCCTTAGCAGTTGAGAAATGGCAGAGCCAGCGAGAAGAGACCACCTGGAAGCATGAAATAATATAAGGCAAGTTAGTGGAACACCCTGCTTAAGCAAAATTAATCAATCTTATTTTCAAGAACAAAAGACCTGGGCTGCTTCTCCAGCCTTCTCTAGTTATTCATTTGTAGGTTGGGAAAGAAAGGCAGGGAAACCAAAGGCACCAATGATGCAAACAAAGCAGATACTGAAAGCATTCAAAGCAGTGGCACAAAACGAACGTGTTGTTACGATGAGAAGTTGTGAGTAGCAGGTAAAAATGAATATATATTTGTTAGAACTTTATGGTTGATAAAACTTATTGCATCTGGTTCTATGAATCCTGAAATCAACAAATCTGGACATTGCAGATCTAGCTTCCCTCAAAATTATTCCCTGACAGTAATCTATGGGTGACAGACCAAAAGTCATGAACAGCATACAGCTCCTTAAACTGAAGTGTAATCTACAGCTTTACTCACAAACAGCACCACACAAACACAGGCACATCACAAATAAGCACCACTACCCACACAATGCATCCTCTTTGCTTTAACACCATATTCAGAAATACTATTATATCACTTAAATTCCTATTGCCTACTTTAGAAACTAAACACAGTCAAGAAATTAATGTGCAAACGTGACGTAGTTACTTGTGTTTTGCACTTTTCAAGAGGCCTCTCGAGTTTCTGGTAACACAGTCCTTTGTCACAGCACCATGGCAGAATCTGTTCAGGAATACACATTTTCAGTCTACTGGGGTCCAAGTCAGGAGCAGAAGGGGACAGCATCCCATGGAGAACGTCTAGCAAAGGTTGCATGATCGTTTTCTCCAAGCAGGAAAAAGGGAGCACAGAGAACCTTATTTTTTATTACACCCAAAAGTGCTGACAGCTCCGCTCAGGTTACTTTCCTGTCTTTGTCTTAAAAGCAACAAATAAAGGTTGCAACAGCATGTATGTAACAGCATATATAGTACCAAAAATAAAATCAAGATAGGCAATAAAAAGGAGGGAAAAGATGAAAAAAACCCTGCTAGTTTAATGACTGGGATTTTCTGAAGAGCCCTAGGGTGTATTTACACTGTGTTCAGAAGCTGTGACCCTGCACATCTAGTAGCCACCTTAACCCAGCCAGGTCAGGTAAGAAAAGCCACAAAGCTCTAAGAATGAGCTCAAACTGCCATGTCTGATGAAAGAGATGAATAATCATGTTCCAAAATTTTTACCAGATGTAAACCATGTGGTTGGATATTTGTTTGCTGCCCTTGCTGAAGTCAGTGACTAACTCGTATAACCTGCAGAGAGATGTTTGGGACCTAGATTTCAAAAACTGGGCAGTTTTGTGTTGTTTGTTTGTTTGTTTTATTTTTGAATGGACTAACTCTTACTCAAGTAACTATTTTCTTTCTCACCAGATTAGTATCAAATGAAGCCAAACACACGCCTTTATATACGGAGAACAGCTGTGGAGAAAGATCTGTTTTGAGGGTGCTGTTGAACACAACACAGAGCAGATGAGTCTCCTCTGAACATAACTTGGAAAGAATTAATTCTACAAAGGGACACAGGGGAAAAACCACTAAAAAACTGACACTGAGTTCTTAATGTTCATTTCCTGCCATCTATGAAGAATCATATTTAAAGATAAATGCAAACTTGACCATTGCAAGTAAAGTATAATAAAACAGTGTGATTTTACCTACTGCTATTATCGTAAATTTTAACATGTGGTATGTGTTATGGTATCATCACTTGTAACTTGGTCAGAATACAAGTTAATGATTTATCATGCTCTAGATTTATTGAGGTTTTGGCAATGGTTTTCATTCTCAAGCATCTCCTGAGAAATAACTAACTGGAAACAATTAAATGTTGTGGCCCACTGATAATTAAAAAGTAGGCATTGGGGACAAAATCAAAAGGTCATGATTAGTATTCTGATATGTGTAGATTCCATTAAGGCTTAAGTTTGGAGTTGTTTAGGGGGTTTTTAGGAGTTTTTTAGGGTGTAGTTATCAGAACACTAAATGCTTTTGGTTTATGTTTGTATCTCTGAATAAAAGAGTTAGCAATAAATGAAGGATTGCAAAAGTTTCAGTCTAGATCACAGCAAAACCTATTTCTCTGGCTTAGAGTAAGATAGAACACAGTTACAGTGGCTATTTAAATGCTGTGGCACAAATGTTGTTACTCACTTGAGCTGAGTGACATTACCCTACAGTAAAAATTGAGACTGAAAAGTTATTGATCACATTGAAAAAGTGGATAGGCCAACTTCTGCCCTTCCAAAACATTTGTTTAAAAAGATTCCAGTTATGAAATATATGAGCCACATGCATTGCAGGAAGCAACTACATAAACATCCTAATGGAGATGGGATCTTGACTACCCACAACTTAGCTCTGATCTAACAGGAGCATTTCAACGTTGCTGGGCAGAGCTTACACACATCTCCACTGACTTTTTCATTCAGCCTCACGTGTATACACCTCCCAGTGGAATTCATCCTTCTATGTGCACACACAGTGCTCAGAGTAACCAACTCAGTGACATTTATGGCTTTCTTAAAAGGCCTTTTAACCCACATAGCAAACGTATATTGAGTTGTAACATTTCCATTTGCTAAAAGATACTTAAATTCTTGACAAACTGATATAGAACTGCATTGCTTTATTCACTAATGAAATATGGTTATTTTTATGATTAAGTAATTAATTAGAGCTGCGCAGGGCAACACTAAATAAGAGAAATCCTTATCTGCAGCTCATAGTCATGCAAGCCATCTCATTAAAATTACAATGGCAAGAGCAGGAGTGGGATTATTATATTAAAATGTGGAGGGATTTCAAGACCCTGCTCCAACTTATAGCCTGATCAAAGCCCACTGAAATGAAATGGGAACTTTAATCCATTAGGCATTAAAAATAAAGAAATTGTAACTTCCTCCAGCTGAGAATGCAGGAAGAGAGACTGCATTGTTTGGCAGTGCATGTACATCAGCTTTTTTTCTACAACTTCAGTTTCTGACATACTGGTCTTCCCAATTTGTCTTTACAGGTAATTGTGTTACATTATTCCCATGTAAATAAAAATAAATGAATAAATATTAAATATATTTCAACTACAGATATTGTTTTTATGTTTTTAGTACAAATCTATGTCAATGGTTTCTTTAGCTTTCAAGTACCATGTCATATCTATAATACATATAAAACAGCATATAATTGCAACCTTAAGTGCTAGTGCAACTAGTATTGAGCAACCCATTTATTTCTATAGCTAAAAATCATTTGGGCATATACGCTATTTTGTTTACTAGGAAAGGAAGCAATTTTAGTTTTTGTTACCAGGTTTTTCTTAAGATCAGTATGTCATCCAAGGTTTGCTTTCAGTTTCCAGGGTTTATAGTGAAGAATTCATCAAGGAAAAGAGATTTTTCTGTGTTCGAATCATGTATGTTACTGTTCAAAAATGCTGCTATAAGTAATTTTTAAAGGAAGCTTTTGTGTCACTGAACAATACTTATCTAGCAATGCTGAATCATGAAGAAAGCATCTGCCTGCTGTTATCTTTGCTACAGAACTTTTTTAACCAAATCTTCTCCACAGCTTCACCCACCTTCCCAGTGACAGGGAAAATACTGACAAGTGACAGGGTCACAGTAATTCAGTGAGGAGACCAGCTCCTTGCCACAGACTGAGCTCTGAAACGCAGAGTCAAATTCAGTGCTCATTTACACACATGAGACCCCACTTGCTGAAATGAACTGTGAAACTGCAGCCTGAACACACAGCTATCTACAGAACTATTATATGCACATGAAGAGGCAAGAGCTCCAAGATAAAGGTATTCCTAATACACGTTACTAAAACTAGCAGATGTGTCTTAGGTAAAAAAATCCCTTTGTGCAGTGTAGTGAAATGTCTACAACACCTTTCCCAGTAAGTGCATTGCTTCATGAATTGTCTTTGCAGGACTCCTTTTAAAACCTACTGAATGCATCCCTGTTTCTTCTTTGCATGTCCCTGCAATCCTAGCTTGCTTTTTTATTTTTTTTTTCTCCTGTACTACCGCCAAATTAAAAGTAAGATAATGCCCCTTTCTCTCTCACTTGAATGATTAGATTATGCTTCTTATTACAGCTAAATATCTACCCTATCAGATTCAATCAGTTCCCCCCCCCCCTTTTTTTTTTTTCACTGACCATTTTTAGTGACCACACACTTCCCTCCCAAAGCCCCAGTGTGTTTTCTTTCTCATCCTTCTCCCAGCTACATTAAGGCTAGCATTAGTGGTACCACTGGCTCGTTTTGGAAATAGCCTGTCTTGACAAAAAGGTGAAACTGCAGGTGCCCTCCCCCATCGCCACTGGGATGTGGCCCTGGGGGGTGTCAGTCTTTAGACAAAGACACTGAAGAGAGGAAACTCGGCTTGGTTGGGTTGCAGCAAGTCAGTCAGGAAACACACAGTTCCTGAAAAACCTTCATACAGACTATAGACACTCTCTAGTGCCCGGGAACCAGCCTTGAATTCTTCTGTAAATAAGAACTCTGCAAATCTATGAGAGAAAAAAAAAAAAAAGAGCTTGTTATTATTTGATATCCCACTCTGTCTACTTACCTGTTGTTTGAAAACATCAGTTAATAACATTCAGCAATTAAAAAAAAAATAGAATGATCACTATTTAACCTTATCTGCAACTTTTACACTATCCAACTTCCACAAGGAAGTGAAGTTCATTAGATTTTGAAAAGACAAATCTTTGCAATCTGTGCATTTTGCTTGTTTAAGACCTGTAAACCTTTTCTGATTTCTGTAAGACATATCATTAAACAAATACTTTTCAATAACCTTTACGATGCAAGTAAGGTTTCGCACTGATGCTGCAAATTCTGTGAGGCTGAAGTAACTACACAAATAAAAGGTTCTCACTTCAAAGAAAATAGCTGAAAATAAATCACCCTAATTATTATCCCACTTTCCCTCATTGTCCTATGCTGTGGGGAAGACAATAGCAAACATTGAATTCTATGTTTTTAAACATATGCAGTAAATTACAGATATATAATTAAAGATAATTGCAGCACTGTGACAGAATTTTCGCTGGACCATATATGCTTGCATCTGTAGAAAATGGAATTACCACTGGCTAAACTGAACAGCACAACGTCAAACTGGCTAAAGGTGGGAAGGATAAACTGAAAAACTGTAAAATAACAGCAAATCATGTCCTATACTTATTTTCCAGCTTCTAGTAGAAAGAAATAGCATTAAATGCTCTGAAAAAAATGTAACAGATCATGTTTTGCTCTGCTCCTGGGCTCAGGTACAGAACTTGGCTGATTTATGAGCCAAGGATGAGACCTGGTTGCATGCCATTCCTCCACATCCACCCCAGTTCCCTCTGAAAGAGCACAGGGTCTCAGGCAGGGAGGGAGGGAAGGAGGCAGCCTGGGAGAACCTGATAGTTCTCCCACCACAGGCAACCTGGAAGCGGGACTGCAGAGCTCCTGCAGAGTGCACCTGCCCCACAGCTCATTGCAACTCACTGATCACAGACTGAGCTGCTTTACAAATGCTACCAAAACCTTCCAGCATTACCCTAAATCCAGAAGACAGGAATGCTAACCTTTGTGCCCTGTATATGTATTTTGAGTTTCCAGTGAGCCTGTATAGCAGCAGGAACACATAAGCACTACCAGCCACTCCGTGGCATATTCCAGGGCCCTTCTTCAACAGGCCTTTCTGCCAAGTCAGCTCTCCACAGCGGATACAAGTGTCCAGATATTGAGGCTTCTTGGAAACCAGGTAAGCCTTGGCAAACAGGTATGCAATGCCTAGGAAAAGAGCAGTGAGATTATCCTTCCTAGTAAGGATGCCAAGGGTTTCATAGAACACTTAAGAAAATAAAGATTAATACACTAAAAAACGGCAGCGTCACGCTCTGCACGTGTCAGCGTCACCTCTGCTAAATGTGGAGGGGGGAGTATCTGCTGTGATAAAAAACCATCTGGCAAGACGTACTGCTCCATTCCCCGTGACAATATTTTCAATAAATCATTGAATTTCAGGGTTTTCTCTCACGTTCCCAGACTTTTATAAACTAAAACCAGCAGTCACATTTTTGCCTTTAAAAGAGTAAACTCTTAGCACTGTTTTCTACTGGTGCCAAATCCCCATTCACCTCACCTACTTACACTGATAGAAACACAAGGATGGGCAAGATTATTTCTTACACTGGCAACAGACAATTTTTTTTACTAAATGAGAAAAAGAAACTCTTTTTTTTTTCCCCAGTAGGGCCCATACTGCTTTATCCTAGTTATATACAGCTATGCGTATTAAAAAAAAAAAAAAAAAAAAGCTATTTGGCTTATTTTTTAGAGGAGATTTAAATAAATTAAACATAATAAAGTTTGGTAGGCAAAAGCTGCTTTTACTCCACTTCACTAGAGTGCCATTGCTACCAAGCCAATATCACTCGTTAGCAATAAAATTCTGCCTGGAGGTAAAGCAGCAGTTTCAATATCCAGCATTACTTGCCAAAATTGCTTACAGACATCAGTCTTACCTCATGAACCCAAAACTAAAGATTGAGGTTTTTTTTTTTTTTCCTGAAAAGCAGTTTTACATGCATTACTTTCAGAAAAAAATGCCTCTTGCTAGTACAAACTGTACTTCACATGAAAATATTTCAGTCAAATGTATGCATTATCCATGTGACAAGTGCAGCTTAAACTTTGATTCAGATGGGGAAAAAAAAAAGGTATTCTCAAGTCCTTCCCCAAACTCACAGATGTGTCTGTATCTGTGTTCTTTCATATACCATTTTTCTTTCCAGCCACATGCTGTCTTTTGACTCAGCTGTACCAGTCTTTGAGGTCTTGTCACGAATGGGAGCAAAAGCAGAAAATACACAGTTCAGGATCACCAGAACTCTTTCAGCTGTGATCACCTACGCTTTCAAGGCAAAATATACCTATTGTTCCAGCTGCTTCAGCAACAAATAAAACGCTCTGAACTGGAAGAAGGAGTCTAAATAGTTCGTCTGCATCTCATCAAAAGATCAAACCCTGTAACCTGAGATTATCTTCTATATGGAATCACCTAATGTGAAAAAGCAACGGGATCAGCATCTGGCTATTCAAAGCATCAATGGGAAAAGAACCTGGAGCTCCATGACACCAGTGCACCAGCTCATTCTCCCGCTCGATTGTCTCCCCCAGCTCAGGAGGCCAGTTGCTGTTCTGTTCCTGGTCCATGAGGAAATCCACACTCTGCCACACAAGCTCCTGATCTGCTGGCTGCAGGTACTCATAGTAGGAGAGCAGCATCTGAAGGATTGACGAAAGCCCATGAGCTGCACCTGTAAAGAAGAGAAACAATCAGATTAGAGGGTAGGTTTAGGTCTCACCTCCACCTCAAGGCAATTTTCCCTTGGGATCGATTTCCTTGTCAAGCACATGGCTCCTTCACCTTCTTTATGCATATTACAACAGTGCTTAGAATAAAAGATTTCTAGGTGCAGAACACTATATTTTACTACTTCTGTCATCTTCAGTTCCTCCAGCTTTGCAAAAATATACAGGAATTTTTTCTGCTCTCACTATGATATGACTAAAACTCAGTGCACGAAGTTAAACTGAACCCGAACTGAATACTGTTTCACGATGTTATTCTTGACTCACTGCTGAATCTGGACCATTAGTTTGAAATATTTGTTGAATTCAAATTGAAACTGGGCCATAAATGGGTATTCTCACTTACTGACTGACAGTATCAGTCAACTAAAACCTAAATTTCGGTGCAAGAACTGTCTGTACCTGCCAGGGTCTGTGGCACACACAACGCAGTGACTTCTCCCGCTGGTCGCCTGCCAGAGAACTCGTTAATATATGCAAATCAATCCCACACTTTCTGCATATTGTACCCTGAGGACCTTGCCAGGAAGCTGCTCAGTGGCCTTTCCCCACTGCTTCAGATCAGCTGCAGCTAAAGCTGTTCTTGACGGGTAGGGCCTGACCACATGTTCTGAGTTGTGGTGCTACAGCCCAAATCCCTCGGCAAGTTCCTGCATGGCAACAGCAGCTTACAAAAAACATCCCTGACTGTTCCCTCAGGTAACCTGCTCCACACAGACATGGGCACCTCTCGCTGCCTCTGTCTGGCAAGGCAGATTTACCAGGGCAGAAAGGAGAAGAAGAAATGAAGCTGCTCCCCCGGTGCAGCACAGGCACCTCTTGTGTTTCCCAGTGCTCGGCAGCATCAGTCCTTCCCTCCAGCACTTGGTTCCCCTCAGCAGTGTTAGGAGGTTGGATGGTCCCAATAGGGTCAGGAGAAATCCCATGCTGTAGGTTTTACGTATTTTATTTCTTCTAGCTCAGCATCTACACACAGCATCACTCCCAAAGCTGTTGGTGTGTTTTACTCACCAAGATACTCCGTTCCGTAGTAGGAATACATGAGTGGGAATGGTTTCCTCTTCTTCACTGCATACTGTTTTCCTGATTCTAGTATGGCCAGGCAAATTGATTTTATTTGTGCTGGGGTCAGCACCTAAACAGAAACATCAAACAAACATCAAGTCTATTATAGTAATTTAATTTTTTAAGACATTTTTCAGGACTCCGCTTTTTTGCTGGTGCACAAGACAAAGTACTGCCTTTAATATGAGCATGCTGGAATGTACATCATTATTAAAAGTTCCTTACGTAACACAGTCAATTTACATAATGGTTCTCAAAAACAGAGTTTCATCCCCTCGCAGGAAGGGAATGTCAAACATTTAGCTGCACAGATGAGGTGGAAAGAGGCCCACTAAGAGCCTTTCCTTCCAAGAGATCCAGCAGTCTGGGACCTGGCAACACGCAGCAGGCACACTGCAGAACAGCAGCCCCCAGACTGAAGGAAGAGATGTTAGGATAAGACAAAGGGAAAGATTAGAGAAGCTGTGTTACAGGCTTTATTAGGACACACCAGGCTAGACAGATTTTTCTACAGACAAGATAAAAAAAGAGGAAGCAAAGAGGAGGGTACCAGGATTTAATGAAAATCACTATTATGGGTGTGGATTCAGAAACATCTTAGTAAAAAAATCAGGCTTTCTTCAAGAAGATGCTAACTTGCTTACTTCATGGAGATGTAAAAAATGAAGCGCAGGACTGGTTTCTATGAAGACAGACTAGCTATGCTTATGGGACTTTATCATCAGGTCAACGCTGCCTTTGCTGCAGTCCTAAGAGATGACTAATGCCTTACTCTTAGTGACGTCGAAAGTAAGACTGATAAATCATATATTTCACCAGACATGAACTTTTCCAAGTTACTGACCCAAAGCATTCAGTGAGGGATCAGGTTTACAGGTTTTAACTACATCTCTATTTATATCCAATTCACTGCAATCATCAGCAATTTCCTCTGTGTCAGCCACACCTGTACATTACTATCCAACACCTAGGCCAATTAAATAATTTAACTGAAATAGTGTTTTGGCTTTAGGGAAAAGCTTGTATGGCAGCAGTACTTTGAAGAAATATATTTCAAATTATGAAAAGAGAACTGAGAAAGAAAAAAAAGCAAAATGAGACAGGAAAAAAAAAAAAAGAAAAAGGCTGCACAAATACTCTTGACAAGATAAATGGTAATCCTAAAACTAACTGGAATACCAAGATGATGTCGTTGAAATGTTTCTGAACTTGTTTGGGTTTGCTATAATTTGTATTATGACAGGATTTACAATTACTTCTTCAGTTAAAAAGTTTTAAAAATACTGATAGCATTAAGTGTGGAGGCAACATACGTTATAAACTCTGTTCTCTCATTTGGCACATAAAAGATGCTACAGAAAATTAATGTCACATAAAACTTGACTGAAAGCTAATGGCTGAAAAATCTTATTTGCTTGTCTCACCTTGCTCCCTGATAACAAGGGATTTTATTACAGCTGCTCCAAATGACTATTATATTTGTACCCTGGAGAACAACCTACTTCTGATCTTCATTAATGTTCTTTTACGTTGCTGCAGTAGAAGTAAATAAGACATTAACATCTGGAGACTTCAGTCATTTTCAGTCATTTTTACGTGAATCACTTTAGCTTCACAGAACTTAAAGAAATGATTTAAATCCTAAGCAAATGAGGAGAGCAGAGACACGGGGAGACACAGTGAATTCTCTCTAGAGCTTTCATTTTAATATCTGCCAGTTTGGGACCTATTCCTCCAGACTCCATGCCTTGTAAAAGCATTAGTAAGGTAACCCCTTAGAAATAAATGCGAAGGATCAAGTCTACTAATTGTAATCCTGGAAGGCAAAGGCACTCTGGTTAGAAAAATCCTAATCAGTTCACTTTCCGTATGTAGCGACCTCTTTACTTAATACTCACAACTAGCTTTCAATACAGACCATGTTTTGCTAAGCTTATTTTTATATGCAGCACATTTAACTTTTAGATGGAATTAATGCCTATGTTAAAATGCTGGTTGAGTATTTTAAATGCATATAAACTTCTATCCAAATCCAGCCTTCCACAATGCTGCATAAAGAAGGATCAGCTAGATAGGAAAGCATTGTTCACCGTTTTTTAATATAAAGCAAGTGTAAAAAGTCAAGCACTTAAGCAGTATGAATACTTAGGTGTATGCACAGTATACCCTTTTGCCTGGCATAATGAAATATGCTAATGAATATCACCTCTTTTTCAGAATGCAAAAGCAGCCCACACGCAAAGCCAGATGAAAAATGATATTTAGAATCGTGATTAGAATGGATGATAGAAATCAACCCACCTGATCCACTTCTACATTACCAAGGAAAATGGCAAAGAAAATGACCTGTGTATCTGGAAAACAACCTTATCTCTTTGCTAACTACAAAATTACCTCTTAACACGTGTCTCAATCCACAATCATTTTAGGGCTGCTGCCTGTTTCCCAAAACACTTCAATATGGAGGATGTGTATTTTCTCCTTATTCCAGGAAATGTTTGGCTGGAACAGAAAACCCTCAATGAACCATAATTATTAGTGCAAAATCTGGATAATCAGAAATCACATTTAAGGTCTCCCTTGACCTACTATATCTTACGTCATCCAATTCTGTCTTAAAACCTCCTCAGACTTCTTTCACCTTACCAAGAAAAGAAAACTGTGACTTGTCTCTGTATGCTCCCTCACAGTATATTTAATAAAATTGCTGAATCTTACAACCAAAACAACAATCACAGAATACATTAATCATAACCACTGCTGATGTAGCTGTGGTTCTACAGAGTTCATTTTCATTTCAGTGCAGTCACAATGCCTCCTTGCCCCTGGGAATTACTGAAGCAATAAGTTTAATTAGGAACAGAAAAGAAATAGACTGATCATCCTCAAGGCTTTGAGAGGATAAATTGCATACTGATATCACGTCCTCTGGAGCTGTCAGATGCTTTGATGAAGAATAAAGCCAATATGAGAATATGCTACCTAGAAAAAAAACTCATGCTTGAGATAGATACATCTTGTGAGAAACTTCTTGAATGTCATTTAGCATAAGCATAGGTAAAAATATTCTTTATCATGTCAGTACTTAGCCAAAAGACTACTGGCACTAAAGAGATATATTGCTGGTGCTTTAAAACTTCAGCCAACTATTTTTGTACTTTTAAAGGCGTCACAATCTGTCCTATCATAGAATTACAGAATGGTTTGGGATGGAAGGCACCTTAAAGACCATCTAGTTCCAACTGCCCGCCATGGGCAGGGACACCTTCCACTAGACCAGGTTGGTCAAAGCCCACCCAGCCTGACCTTAAACACTTCCAGGGATGTGAACTTCTCCACCACAACCTGTTCCAGTGCCTCACAGTAAAGAATTTCTTCCTAATAGCCAGCCTAAAGCTGCCTTCTTTTAGTTTAAGGCCTTTCCCCCTTCTCCTGTCACACCTGCCCTCTTAAGCTTTCCGCTATTTAACAAACACATATAAATTATAGATGTTCCTTTTCCAGGTTAAGTATAGGTTGTCTGTCCACTTTAGTCAAAACTGGTGATTTTGTCTCAGTTGGTTAGAAATGTTCATTTTACTCTCCTCAGTAGACTGAAGTTTGGAATACATGCATTCCATGTTTCCCCTGCAATTTCTGTATCAGTAGGTTGGTGGAGTCCTTTATTTACTGTTTTATATCATTGCCCACTGATTCCATGTGCTGTAAATAACTGGTTTGCTCACACAGGGGACAGCTACATTCCCATATATTGCAATACTTAGTATTTGTACTATTCTCTGTGCCTAGGAGCCTGACCTACAGTAAAAAAAGCCACTGTGATTGTTTTTAAAGTCCCTCCATTTTTCTCTTGTGCCACTGCAGGCACTATGCCTTTTCCTATTAAGGCATTCCACAGTTTTGTGAATTATTTAAGGCAGATACTTCATTCAGTAAATCCCTGTTAAAAGCCAGCAAGAAAGTGCTATGGCTACAGCAATCACAGAACACCATCCATCCTTTTTTTGTTGTTAGTAGTCTTTCTCAACCTGAGATTGTTTAGTTGGAAGAGAAAGATTTCACAACTCCTTTCGATCTACTAGGAGACATTTTGCAATGTATCAGTTATGACCATGCCCAGCCCTAAATATGCATTTTGAATGTAGACAAACATCTTGACCTTGAGGATTAGGAAGTAAAAAGCAGCACTAGCTCTTCTTTGCTTCTGATTGCTGTAACATTTTCAGCACTTCATCACTCCTTGTACAAGCCCCTTGGCTCATGCTTTGCCTTTTGAAAACCACTGCTACATAAAACTGCATGATGTACTGAGTACACTTGATGATTGTAAGCTTTTAATTCTCTTAAAAGAGCTGTATTTATTTTCTTAAAGCTCTTTCCTGTATGTAACGGAAGGCATTACTGAAGCCAAGTATCGTTTTGATAGATGCAGAAGTACTTTTAGGAGGTAACAGCTACACTTATATTATTGTGGAAAAAACCTTCCCCTGTGCATGTAAAAACATATTAATATGCACCTAACACATCAAACCTCTCTCTGTCACACTTCCAAAAAGCCATTTACATGAATTTGATCAGACATTTTTTCTGATGCTGTACAAAGTGCCAAAATAAGCTGAAGAAAACGGGTCAGTCTGCAAATAACATTAGAGGAGTTTTGCCATTAGTCTCCTATGCCGGTAGCCCAGCAGAGGGAGCTTGTGAATTAGTTATAATAACCAAAAATGCTGGGAAAAAAAGATACAGATGTTTGTGTTCAGCAGGACAGCTGACTCAAGCAGAAGGATGATGGAGCCAACTTGGTAATTTAGTGATACCTTACTGCACTGTGTGATGATTAAGTTCACTCCTTAAGCTTCATCTTTTTCTACCAAAGACAGGGGGTGGGATTGTTCAGGGATCTTTCCATGCAATGTCACGGCCAGTTTTTTTTTCCTCATATTAACAAAGCTACATGACTGTGTGTAGACTCGGGGCAGCTACTAATATGATTCTGCCAGTTCACTGGAGAAGGGTACTTGACTGCAACCTTGAGTAAACCAGACTTCCCTCTAGATCCCACTGGTACTG